CAGGTGGTCGTGATCACAACCTGGATATCCGACTCGGATATAACCACTTCTTCAGACTTCAATAGATTTTATACTCCTAGCAATTGATAGATTTAGATTTCGCGTAACGAAGTGACTGAGTCCGCATGATTAGTTAGTTATAATAGATTACTTGTTGACGTTTCAACTAATCAGAAATCAATTACCGATTCACTTAACAGCACTAACCCTAAATCCTAACCTAATCCTAAAAGCATTTGCAATATTGACTACGCGACTAATTTTATGAAAATAAATTTAAGATTGTATTTATCACTTTTGCACAAAGACTGTCTTTAATTTTACGCAAAGAAAGCAAAAGGTGAATGTTAATCTCGAGACTAATAAACTCTTATGATCGTGCAAGTACACGCATTGTTAATTAAATGGATGTTCTAATAAGTCTTTCGTAATTCATATATTGACAGAAAATCGATGATAATGATTCTTGATAAATTTATAATGAGTAAAGTGGTTATGACATATTAACATGAGAAATAAAACCATATATATATATGTATATATATATTATAATAGATTACAAATATTCAAAGAATGTAAGTAAAAAAAAAAAAAAAAAAAGTCATAGATTTAAGCTTGCCTATTGAATAGGCTAGTTATGGGTGTGATGAAAAATATATAAAAAAGGAAAGGATAAAGATAAAAATTCCTATGACAATACAAACATCAAAAATAATATTCCACTTATCATTTGGTATTTCAGAATAAAGCTCATAACCACGCTCAAATCCTAATCTTGCCAACTCCCAACTTCTTCTCATAATAGCATTAACAATTCGAACAGCCTGTAGATTATAGCTATCCAGTATGAAAACTTCATATTCTTCAATATCGAATACTTCTGTGTCAGTAATTTTACGTAGATAATTTTTTTGCTTCGTAATCCAGCTAATTTGAGAATGTTGTCGAATTGAAGTTGATGGTGACATTGAAGAATAAGTCGTCGAAACAGTGATTGGGGCATCGGCCGATTCTATAGATGCTTTCATGCACAAATCGGTTTCACCAAAACAAGGACCTTTCATTCCGTCCCAAAAAATTGCTTGATCCTTTGCATTCGTCACAACCCTGCTTAACACAGGATTCGCACGATTCGTCAATGAGAAAATAAAACTATCCAATGTTTTACGATTTTCATCGCGGTAAGGTACTTCACAAAGAGCTTTTTTCATTCTTCGATTGGAGTTCCTGTGTGGATCCACGTTAATGTATTCATAACGGAATCCTCTCCAATCTAAAGGATTATATCCACCAATTAATTCACCGGTTTTTTGCAGTTTTAGGATTACAATTGTTGGGCCCTGACAATCACACAAATTGTGAAATGTTTTGACATCAAAACCATCTCTAGTTCCACGTAATAAAAGTTTAAACTTGTAAGGATTATTATTAAAGGTATAAAAGTTATCCTCTTTTCGATCAATCCAACTCGAAATTACGGCAGCATCTTTAGGATTAATCAATTTTGAATCTAAGGTAACACTGAGAGCTCTCGGTGGAGGAATTTGAGATTTGTCAACAGTGCCAGGATTTAAATGATATTGTAAAACTACTTCATCAATTTCCTCAGGAATAACTCTTTTAAATACTTTTCGAACTTTGATATAATAATCATTACTTGACATTTGACAGAATCTAACTAATGGAAGGCAACGAGAGACACATTCCCGAAACGCAGCAAAATCTTGATTGGACCAGTTTGTTGGGTCTTGATCTAGCTCAGCGTTTGCAATACCCCATTTAACCAAATAATTCCAAAGTTCTATTTCTTCAAGTTCAAGGTCGTCACTTTGAAGAAGGAGATACAAAGCATCTTCATCCAAAGTAAGGAAATCATCTGATTCGAAGAGGATGAGAGGATTTCTACATATAAGCCTTAGAACATGGGTGGATAATTTTTTGAAGTGGTCGTTGTGAGATACAATACGAATTAATATTAAAAGATTAGAAGAGATCCACGAAGAATGATGTCTTATTATGTGGTCTTGAGCACACTCCGTTAAGTTATGAAGTTCGAATTCATCAGATGCCAGTAAGATACTTAGTGCATGATCACCTATAGAGTCAAAGGTAATATTTCCAGTATAAATATACCTAATAATCAAAATAAGTTAATGAATTTAATATTTTTTTAAAAAAAAAAATTTTAATAATTATAAAAATTTAACTAACTTGAGGATAGCATCAAACGTATCAGGAGAAATATTAGGCTTTGTTAATATATAAGCACCATGTTCTTCACGTGCCCAATGTCTAGACAACGCTTTTTGAAAATAAACAGACCGTGCACGCAAAATAATTGAATGAGCCCCAAATTCTTTAACATCAAGGTCTCTACCAGCAGTTATTTTTACATCAAAATCTTCGCTGGATTGTAATAAATGGCCCAACTCAGCTGATACGTCAAATGAATGATTATAATGATTATAGCTCATTTCATTTGCTATTTATATATGAAATGACGAACAACAATCCAACGATGAACCGCAAAGATAGAAAATTAAGCCAAGTCAGGATCAAAGAATCGCACTTTAGGTTACAATACTAAAGTTAATAATGAACAAATGCAACATAATAACGGAGCTTTTAATGACATTATTTGGTCATATGATAATTATGCTTATTTGAAATTTTGAACACGTTGCAAGGGCAGGATTGTAGGTCGACCGTGAGAATTAGTAGTTATTTTAATATATACTAATATAAATAATTGCAGATCATGCACTAATGCTGATTAATGCTTTGTCACGCACGTGTAAACATTCTTACCTATTCTTAGTACTTCTTAGAAGTTAACGATAGGAATGTTACATTCCTGACTGTAGCTTGTACTGCGAATTATGAAAATTGCAATTTCATAAAAAAAAATTTTTTTTCAGTAACATATTACGTATTTCTGTTTATTTATGCTACAAACAATTTAGCTAATCTCAGATATTCTACTTCCGATGGAAGCTTCCAATACATAGGAGATCCCGAATAAAAATAAAAATTAAATCTATGTATTCATTATCGTTATCATTATGCAGCGATTTACATGCGTGCGTACTGCATGCTTGAGTACGTGCTTCCACGCAAATTACAGCCGCATATCTAAGAAATTTGTTAAACAAAAGGATATGATTGATAATATATAATTTTTAATAATTTTTAATAATTCTTAATAATTTGTGATATCTGGATCTGACAGTTACTGTAAATATGTTTCTACATATATAGTTCATAAAAGGTAAATAACTTCTTCAATATACATCTATCTATGGTATGTATAAGCATAAGAGAAATGCATTCTGATTGGTCAATAAAGCGAGTAATACTTACAGTGCAACTTTCTTTTGACTTCAACGAGGTGCAAAATAATCCAAAAAGAACGATAAGAGAACCTCGAGGTACGTACTTAAAAGTAAAATTTACATACATAATATCTGTAGAATATATATATTTGCCTTACGTAGTAACAACCTTTTTTAAACATAGATAAAACGATCGATAGTGCAGATGATATACGTAGTGCTGTAGTGATGATCACTAATAAATAAAATTTTGGGATCTGCGTTCATATTAAATTATTATAAATCGTATGGCATACACTCAGGTAAGGTGAAATATTCAATTGATAAGATAAAATTTTAACGTTATTACTTTATAAAGATACTTTTTATTAAATATTTTGCTTTTATAGAATTTAAACTGTTAAATATTGCGGAAGAAATTGAAGGCGAAGTAAGTCGATTTATTTATAATAATTTAATATGGAACGCATGTATAAAAAAAATTTATTAGTGATCACCACTATATTATCTGCACTATGTAAATTGACCGATAGGATACACATCCCACTAAGCCAGAACAAAGAATAATTAGATAAATATATACTGTAGTAATAAAAAATAAACTTTAAAAATTAGGTTGCTTCTACAAAAGACCGGGATCGACAGAACGTTCTAAGTACCGGTTCTGGACCGGTTCTAATAATAACGATAATCCCTGTTACATTTTACTCAATTAAATAGCTTAATCTGGTGTAAACCTGGTTTTTTTTTTTTTTTGCTCTGAGAATACTATAGTTTTTTTTTGTTTGAATACTTATGGTTTGTACGTGTGTACGTACGTACATATTTTAGTAGGTATTACTGTGAAAGAGTTCTAAAATAGTAACGTATTTGATATAAAAAATTATTTTCGAAAGATATCCTTTTATAGTAGTAAAAAAAATAAGAAGTAATGATTACTTTTAAATTTTCAATTAAAAATTGCTATTCCATCTTTTATTTTTGTTAATATCACCTCTTATATATTCTTAACATTTTTAATATTAATTAGGGTTAGATTATATGAAGAGGCGGTAATAGCAGAAGATGACAGTAGCAATATTTTGTTGATTTTTTGGATCCAAATCGGTTGATCTTTAGTATAGGTGGGCATACCGTATTTTCGCGGAATAACGCTCATGAGCGTTATTTCGAAAATTGCGCCCCCTAAAAATAACATATCGATATATAGCTTTAAAATAACGCCCATGCACGTCCCGAAATTTGCCCCTCATTGAGGGGTGTTACAAATGAAAACCAATTAGAAAACAAATGGAAAACAATTATGGGTTATCTGTCCTTTCCGCTTCATGTGCTATAGTGTACATACTAATAATGCAGACCTCGAAAGTATCGTATAAACAAATATGCTACTGTTTACTACCTATGTTACTATGGTGGTAATATCGGCGGGCGGGGCAAAAAAAACCAGAATCATACTGGAAAAAACCCCGCCACAACCGAAAATCTTTTGTGGCTGTCGTCTCGACAGGCCACTCTCTATTGCCAATTCAAGATAACTGTGACTGTTGTCTCAACAGGCCACTTCTACAACCAAAAACATTCAAAATGTGACTGTCGTCCCGACAGGCCATGATTACGCTAAGTGACAACTATCAATTTGACAAGCTCCAACAGATGCTTGCTAGGGTTGGGCAGGGGGGGGACGAAAAAACCAAAGTCGGGTTAGCAGAAAAAATAGAACTTACCTTTCGTGGGAAAAAAACCGTTTCCCTTAAATACTACTAATGATTACTAATCGCAAAAATATCATACAATGGATCAAGCGAATCATGCAATAAATCATAACAATGCAAGAGACTACAAAATCATACGATACGACATTTGACACATCAATTCATAAATCATTGGGTATTTCATATACTAATTAGTCAAAATTATGTAAGGGTGCAGTAATAATGATACTACTATTAGATTTATGCATAAAATTGATCAACGAAATTAAGATGTCTTTACTAGTAAATTACTATCAAAAAAAGCGTTCAAAAAATTGCATCAATTCATGTACTAGCGATTTTTTTCTAGTAATTTTTGTAGCAAACAATTGCTATAGTGTAACCCAAAGAAGTTACAGTTTAAAAATTTTAATTAATCAACCATTTCAAACTATTACATTAGTGTGATTTTTTTTTTTGGTTTGCTATATATGCTCTAGACAAAAGATGTGTTTATTATAAATCAGCCTTAATAACCAAAAATTTAAAACCATAATTGTGTAAAAAAACATTTCATAATATTGTATATAAAGTTTTATTGTAAGCTTTTGTGATGGTTTTAATGCTGATACTCTTTAAGATCAGCTTTTGTTATTATATATATTATAATTAAATAAATTATAAGTGTTTGTTGCAAATTAGTTTTGCTAATTGAAAATTTAAAACTGTAATTGTGTAAAGAAACGTTTTATTTTTTTTTATTTTTTTATTTTTTTTTATATATTGGCAGCCTCGCCGGTATCTTTATTAGATCAAAGCATATATATATACATATATTTAAACTAT